TTTTTTTTTGTACAAGCTCTCTGTAATCCCAAGATCTTCAAAAGATTTGGGGAAGCTCCTTAATCTTCTAAGCCTAAGGGAAGCTCCTTAATCTTCTATCCCCAAACCATAGCAAATAGCATTTTTACAGTAAAACTTTAGAGCATTCCTATTAAATGCTATCATGGCTAATGATTCGACACTGCACTGGAGGTCCTAGCCAATGCAGTAAGATGAAATTCCCGAACTGCCAAGGGTCTGCTCCGAGCTGCCAAGGGTATGCTCCTTGCCTCTCCCCTTCCAGCTACCACCCTTATCTCTGTTTTTAACAAATGAGTTTTCAGAATTATCAACTCCCACTCATCTCCTAAAGCCCCAGAATATCCTTCCTCAGGTATCCTCTTGTTTGATTCCTGCAAAGGTGGCCCTAAGGAGAGGTTGTAAGTATGGTAGGCCCTTTCTGTACACACATTGAGTTCTGGGAGCCCTCAGACAGGGCAGTGGGAACCTTGGCTCTGGCCACACGGTCCCTTCACACCACCTTAGCTGCAAAGTGGAGAGAGAGAGAGAGAGAGAGAGAGAGAGAGAGAGAGAGAGAGAGAGAAAGAAAGAAACAGAAACTTGGGTTCCTGAGGAATCCTGCCTGAGCTCACATAGAGCTATGAAGCAGGATCTGGGCAGTGACTACAACAGTGGTTCCCAAACTTATTTGGCCTACCGCCCCCTTTCCAGAAAAAATATTACTCAGCCCCTGGAAATTAATTTTTTTAAAATTTTAATAGCAGTTGCTCATCGCCCCCAAATGCACCTGTGGCCATCACCGCCCACCCCCCCCCCCATTGCTGCAGCGCCCACCAGGGGGCGGTAGCGCCCACTTTGGAAATCACTGGACTACAACATCATACAGCTCAGGATACACAGTCCAGTTTCATTATCCATGGTTCTTTCTGTCTCTCCTTTAATAAGCCACATCTAATCCCTATGTACTTGCAGATGAGGGCCCTGGATCAAGTACCAGCTAGCAGCCCCCCTTAACCCACACTCCCCAAGGGCCCCCTAACCAACTTCGAGCCTCCAGGGATCTGGTGTCCTCAGGGTTTGCCACAACCTTGTTCATCAATTGTTCTTTCTTGATTTTTAGCTTCTCCTTCTGTTGAAGATAGAGAGAGTCTATGAAGTCTGCTACCCCATCATAAGAACTGGTCCTCACACCCCCAAGGCCATGGGCTTCAGTCATAGCAACGAGGCCATAAAGCTCAGGGCCTGACTTCACTCTGCTACCAGGGCCTGGCCTCTGCCAACCACTTGGCTATTCACATCTAGGTGAGCCCAAGGCCAAGGCTACTGACAGGAGAAATGGCTAGTTGGATGAATGTCCCTAAAGCTTGCTCATTCATTCAGACATCAGATCTTTATTGAGCACCTACTGTTTGTCAGGTGCTAGGGGTATAATGGGGAACAAGACTGTCACTGCCCTTGAGGCGCTCAGTCTCGAGGTATTAACAAGCAGACACAGTGACACTGGTGTAAGTGCTGCTATTGAAAAGCATGGGATGGGAGGTGTTACCAGGATAGGAGGGAGTCCCAGAGGAGAGGGCTGAGGGAGGCCAAGGTTTGGCACAGGCCACTCACCTGATTCCCCATTTCCAAAGACAAGAGTCTTTTCACGATATCATCAACCCTGTGGAAAAGTCATAGCAATGAGAGAGAGACGTTAGGGTAGAGGAGAAAAGGGAAGCAATGCTGTTTTCATTTTAGTTGGCAAAGCAAGGATGATTAAAAACTTCTTTTACAACAAATGAGTCTCTCTGGAAGTCGGGAGCCATCTCCCACAGATTAGAAGTCAACCCGCATCTGACCTGCTGGGCTGAGAACATGGAACGATGTAATAACTACAGAAAATTGAGGCTGTCAGCTCGAGTGTTCCAGGATCGTCATAGGGAGGGTAAAGGAGGATTTCCATTATAGCTAGAATATGGTTCAATCTGTTTTGAGACACTTCAATTCTATAATCATTGTTTCTTTCTCAAGTCACACTGCACAGTGGGAGGGGCAAGAGGGACTGCCCAGCTACCACCGTACAACAGGGGCCGAGCAGAAGGACCCTGGCCTTGGTGTTGTTTGGCCGGGGATTCAAACCCTAGCTCTGTCCCATTGGAGCTGTATGACATTGGGCAGCTTGAGAATCTATAACATGAGGATAGTATGTCTTACCTTACAGAGATTTTTGAGAGGATCAAGACATGAGAGATTTCTAAAAAAACCTGAGGCATGTTACCTCCTTGGTACCTCCACTCCTCTAGCCCAGTGGTCGGCAAACTGCGGCTTGCGAGCCACATGCGGCTCTTTGGCCCCTTCGAGTGAGGCTCTTCCACAAAATACCACGTGCGGGCACGAATGTACAGTGTGATTGAAACTTCGTGGCCCATGCGCAGAAGTCGGTATTTTGTGGAAGAGCCACACTCAAGGGGCCAAAGAGCCGCATGTGGCTTGCGAGCCGCAATCTGCCGACCACTGGTATAGGGTCTTCACCCAGAGCACAAAAATAGTAATCAGTTAAGCCCCATAAGCTCCACCTGTCCCGGCTGCCTACTCACCCTCACCATGCTTGGGCTGCTACAGTTCTCGGCCCCATTCTATAAACAAGCTTCAGCTAGATCAGGCTGGGCCTCGAAGCCACTGTCTTCCCCCTCTCCTCGCCAATCCTCCCAGGGCCCCCTGCTTCACCAAAGAGATTTTTTCCCTGCTTACTTCTCAATTCCAGGGACGTCCTGGTAATCTTTGAGGAGCGTGGAAGGGGGCGGGTCATCTTCTTGGCTGGGACGGACTGTCAAGTGGAGGGATGGAAAACACCCAGAGTTAACTCTCACTGCCCATCCTCCCAGACGTCACTCTTCTCACCAGCTCTATCAGAGACACCCAGGGTCTCCAGCAAGGTGTGGACATCTGTGGGCTCGGTTTCTCCTCTGCAAACGCCCTGGGCACCTGCCCGGATATTTCACGCTGGGAGTAGATGGCCTTTCCCAAGACCCTGTATTGTCACTTCTCACACCTGTCTGGCTCTACAGTTATCACATCCCCAACAGGATGTGGACTGAATGTAACTTCCTTTGAATCCCCCCTCCCTCCTGCCCCCAGTCTGATCCATAGCCCAGCCCGGAACAGGCACTCAACAAAACAACTGCCCGCTCACTGCGTGAATGAAGTAAGGGGGTTGAGGAGGGAACCCTAGCTTTAGGACACTTGTAAGCACCAAATACAGGAAACCCTCAGCCCTGGTGTGTGCATCCCTGTCTTCGCTTGGAGGTGAGGGAGAGGGACAGGTATGGGGGAGAGCAACCTATCCCCTCCGGTCAGACCCTACTCTGCCGCTATGCAAAGAATAGCAATAAATACAAATACATACTACCGTTTATCGCACACAGTACTAAGGATGCTTTTCATGTGTCATCATCGAGTCCCAACAACGATCCGCTCAAATAGATACCCCCACTCATTTTAGAACGAGACTGGGCGAGGAAGTGATTGCCCAATATCACTAACTCTTCACCGACGTGCAGACTGCCTCGGAGGGGAAACCCCCCTGCCCCTCAGAAGGGCAAGGGCTGGCTGTCTCCTAGGTAGGCCTGGGGAGGCCCCCCTGCCTGGCTCCCTCCCACTCTCACCCCGGCGGAAGGTTCCTGCTCCCGCGCCCCGGCTCCCCCCGCCCCGCACGCGGGCTTCAGGCCGAAGCTTTGCGACAAGGTGGACGCGGCTGTTGTAGGACCTCGGGCCCACCCCCACCTCGTGGCTACCTAGCCGCCTCCGGCCTCTCCGCCACCCCAAGCCTTCGGGGCACACTCTCTTCCGCCCCAAGTTCCGCCCGCGTCCCGTCCGAGAGCTCCTACCTGGTCTCTGGATGGCATAGCCGCGGGCGGCCGGGAGGAGACCTGTGCAGAAAAGAGAGGCTGAGGCCATCGCCTTAATAGTCCAGCCTCGATTCCTTCCTACGGCCCTTCCTCCAAGGTGCCTGCCCCCTGCGCCTACACGCCGTCCATGGCTCCTGCACCCCTGCGCCTACACGCTGTCCCATGGCTCCTGCACCCCTGCGCCTACACGCTGTCCCATGGCTCCTGCACCCCTGCGCCTACACGCTGTCCCATGGCTCCTGCACCCCTGCGCCTACACGCTGTCCCATGGCTCCTGCACCCCGCTGCCTGTGCCTCCCCTCCTCGTCTCTCTCCTTCCCCACCCTCCACCCTTCCTCTCTCCCCTACCCGCCTCCACCTCCGCCGAACCCTTCCCCTACTCCTGCAGTCCCGTTTCTCAGCTCCTCACCGCGGGGAGGGGAGGGGAGGACCCGGGGGTCGGAAGGAAGCCGGGCGCACGCTCCCCCCGGCAGCCCGAGGACAGGGGCCTGGGTCCGGACGGCACTCAGCACCCTCCGCGCCGCCCTCAGCATGGCGGCCTCTGACCCCAGCGGGCGGCGGCGCCGTGGCCTTCGCGGTGCGCAGCGGGTTACATGGGCGCCGCCATGCTGGCTCAGGCTCGACCAATCGAGTGCCGCCGCGAGACCGGAGCAGAGGAGGACCGAGCGGCTGATCGCAGGGGCGGGGCTCGGCGATGACGCGGGCCGGCGCGAGCGGGGAGGTGGGGTTAGTGGTCGCTCGAGGTGGGGGACTTGGTGGTTGCCCGGCCGCGTTAGTGGGGTGCGGTGCCCTCTACACTCTAAGATGCCCCTTTTTCTCGGGCGCGCACCCCGCCCTGAATCCCACTCTGCGTTTCTCATCTCGGCCCCGATTATTTGGGGGGCTTCCGTGGGGTCTGTTGTAGCCTTCTTTCCCGAACCTAATATTCACTCCTTCCAACCCCCGCCACCTCCCCACGCCTCCCCTCCAGTCCAGGATGAGGCCCTGGGTTTCAGCCTCCTCTCCTGGTGGGTAAGGTCGCTGACTTTGGAGTCAGACAGCTCTGGGCTGGAATCCTACCTCAGCCCTTCACTCACCACGTGATTCTGTGGACAAGCCACCCAGCCTTTCTGGGCCAGGTGTACTCAACCATCAGAGGAGGATGGCAGTAACAGTGTCTATCCTTTAGGTTGCTAGAGGATTAATTGAGGCAGTTGTGTGCGAAGCACCTGTTATATAGTGAACATTCAATAAGTAGTAGCTGTGATAATATTTGTGAAATGTAAGGACAAATCCAAGTTAAAAGTAGGGAAAATAAAACTTAATTCTCCCTGTGGCAAAAAGAGAAAAGAATACTTGTTAATTGTAAATTCTTTCTTCCCTTTTGAAATGTGTGTACATTTTTTTAAAAGCTAAGTAAGCCTCTTGCCAGTTTTACAACCCAGGAATGCCTTTCTCTAGGACAGTGGTTCTCAACATTCTGGCCCTTTAAATACAGTTCCTCATGTTGTGACCCAACCATAAAATTATTTTCGTTGCTACTTCATAACTGTAATGTTGCTACTGTTATGAGTCATAATGTTAATATCTGATATGCAGGATGGTCTTAGGCGACCCCTGTGAAAGGGTCGTTCGACCGCCAAAGGGGTCGCGACCCACAGGTTGAGAACCGCTGGCCTAGGACCTTGGAGCCATCTCTTTGAAATGCAGTCATTAAGGAAGATCGTGCTCCTATCTCCCTCCCAGTTTCTGTGGGAGGCAGGCTAGGAGCCTAACTTCAGCTGGTGCCTAGCTCCAAGTTGCAAACCTATGTCCTCTTATAAAGATACTAGAGGCCCGGTGCACAAGATTCGTACACTTGGGGGGTGGTTGGTCCCTCAGCCTGGCCTGTGCCCTTTCGCAGTCAGGGACCCCTTGGGGGATGTCCACCTGCCAGCTTAGGCCCGATCCCCAGCACTCAGACATTCCTCTCGCAATCCAGTGCTCTCACAGTTTGGGACCCCTCGCTCCTTACCGCCTGCCTGCAGCGGAGGCAGGAGAGGCTCCCACCACCGCCTCTGTGCTCACCAGTGGTGAGCTTGGCTTCTCACTGAGCAGCACTCCCCCTGTGGGAGCGCACTGACCACCAGGGGGCAGCTCCTGCGTTGAGTCTCTGCCCCCTGGTGGTCAGTATGCATCATAGCGACCGGTCGTTCCATCATTCGGTAGGTTTGCATGTTACGCTTTTATTATATAGGATGAGAAATTTATTTTTCTTTTGGATAAATGCAGTTAGCAAATACAGGTGACTACCCCATTTATCAGGTGACTTTAGAATGACCCCTGTGTGACAAATGATGTTGTCAGGTCCTCTTAAGAACTAGTTATTTTTCTTGAGAAAATATATGTATTAAGTCAGATCCACTTGGCTATATAAAAGAGTACAATTTCTTTTTAAATGTATTTTTTTATTGATTTCAGAGAGGAACGGAGAGGGAGAGAAAGATAGAAACATCAATGATGAGAGAGAGTCATTGCCTGCCCCACACTGGGAATGTGCCCTGACTGGGAATCAACCGTGACCTCTTGGTTCATAGGTCAACGCTCACACACTGAGCAACACCAGCCGGGCAAGAGTATGATTTCTTCCTGTCTTTGCAAGCCCTTTAGCTAATTGCCTGTGGTGCACATCACATTCTGGTTTAATGCTCATTCAGTAATAAAACTGGTTTCTTCATTTTCTGCCTTTGTAGAGAAGTTTTTCTCAGTTGGTGGGAGATTTTGTTTTGAATTATATTTCCCCAACAGAAGTTACTTTTTTCTGAGGTCTGTATCCCTATGTTGCGCTCTGTGACTCCCTCCAGGTAACCCTGGCCACTGTGTCCTAGTGGTCAGTTTTCGACTCTCCACTAAAATGGAGCTCTCTGAGAATGGACTACTAAGCCAAGGCATTTTTGAGTCCCTGCTGCCAGTAGGGTTCTGGTTGAATGAATGAAGGAAAAAATCAACCAACCAACAATTCTGAGAGGTACAGACCCCCGCCCCCAACTGCCAGGGCCCTGAAAAGGAAAAGAACAGAGACTCAGGCACACAGAAGAGTTTCTTAAAATAAAACCAAGTCAAACGGAACCATGGACCAGTTTAAGAGACGGAAATGACAGGAAATAAGCACAGAAGGCACTGTAGTGGACAGGCTGGGGGAAGCCGTTCCTGACCTTTGCGGTGGGAGGCCCAGCCCATGGGTACTGGGCACATGGGGAGGGGTGCTGGGCCTCAGACAGCGGGAAGCCGGGAGCCTTCCTGCCTTTCCTGGGGAGGGTGGTTTTTTAGTGACGGGCCTTCTGACCCTCGCCTCCTCTCTGATGGCCCCAGCCTTTCAAGAGGCAGACCCAGCGGGGGCATCCCAGGAAGCCCTAGAAGCCCCCCAGCCCTTCTACCCCATGGACCTGGAGCCCCTGCAGGAGGGGGAAGTCAAGCAGTGGCCCAAAGACGCAGTCATCCTCCTGGTTGGGGACTAGAGGCTCTGGGGTCCTTTGTGGGCTGGTCTGGAACCAGAGGTTCTCATAGGACTTGGGGCTCGGGGTGAGGTCCCCCAAGAGGGGCTGAGTGGAGTCGCAGCGGATGTAGTCCGCTGGTCCTGAGCGGGAGGGGCTGCCCATCACTTGCCCATAAAGGACCTGGTCAGTGTTGCCTGACTGGGTCTGGGGCTGGATAGTAGATGCCCTTGGGTCCCCCTGGAGCACATAGGCCTGGACCAGGGCGGGAAGGCCACAGGTTCCTGAGCTCTCATGGGACTCCCAGGGCCCAGGCTTCTTCTCTTCCTCCTCCAGCACCGTGATCTTGGTGATGGGTGGCATGCTGGTGTCCCAAAGGCTGGGCAGCTGGAAGATCTCCTGGACACAGGACATGGGGTGAGGGCACGATTCATTTCAGATGTCTGCCCCAGCCGCTGTCCCTGCCTGAGCTGGGTCAGTGTGGGGACCTTTCTGCGGCTGTCTGTTGAAACTCAAAGATTTGCACCTGTGAAGCTCCTCATATGTTCGTGTTATGTGCTATGTGCTGTTCAGACTCATCTTGGTGAATCTCTCCAACAGTTCTGTGTGGGATTAGTCTCATTTCACAGGGGGATGTCTGAGGTTTTGAAATGGGTAGAGCTGGGATAAACTGGGTAAACTCAGGTCTGCTTTACTCCAAAGGGAGTGCATCTTGCTAGGAAGTGAAGGGAAGGCCTGAGCACTCATCCTCAGAGGGGCAGCTCTTCACTTTGAACCTGGGCCCACACCCCCAGTCCCGTTTCCCTCCTCCTCCAGGGTTCTCACCTCCGCAGGGATGCTAGGCACCCAGGAGCCCAGGCTGCTGTGGGCTGGGTCTGGGACACTTGGCCAGAGGGAATTCTTCCTGCTGGAGAAGGGGGGGCAGGTAAAGGTAGGGCCAGGCATGCCCTCCCATCTTTCCAGCCTGTCTCCCCCCTTCCCCCCCCAGCCCCCTCTCCCCCCGCAGCTGAAGGCATGGCTGCTTAGTGCAGAGAGAAGGTGGAGGGCCTGACTCCCAGACACGGGCCCTGAGGCCTGAGAAGGCTGGGGTGGGCCTGCAGTTCCTTGTGGGGAGGGGTATCTGGGTGTCAGATCTCTGGATTCACCTGGGTCTGCAGCAGAACCGGGTAGCCACACAGAGGCAGATGAGCGAGAGCAGGAGGCCGAACAGGCCCAGGAAGATGTGCAGCTCGAACTCCCCTGGGGTGAGGGGAAAGCCAGGAGAGATTAGAGTGCATGCGAGTAAGGCTGGTCCTCCTCTCTCTGACTAGGATCCAAGGGCAGGGCTAGGTCTCCTCCCTCGGACCTGGAGGAGATCCAGGCCAGCCTTGTCTACTCTAAAAATGGAGATCTTTTGTCTGAGGCACCTTCCCAACAGCCTTGTCTGGCCAGCCCCTTCCTCCTCTTACCTGGGGCTAAGGTCATCAGGGTGAGGCTTGTACTGTTGGTGGCCCCCACCTGGCTGGCAGCCATGAGGTGGACGTGGTACAAGCTGGCAGGCTCCAGGCCGGGGAGGACAAACTCATGGGAGGAAGCATTAAGGATGGTGGCTGGGAATAGAGCAGAATGGTCAGTTGGGCCCCGAAGCCGAGGCTCCCTCCAAGGCTGCCCCCTCCCGGGCATTCTGGGGCTGAGGATAGACTCACAGAAGGACTGGCCCTGAGCATTGGTCCAGAAGATGGTGTAGTGGGTAAGAGGGCTCCTCCCCAGCTCGGGGGTTGGGGGCACCCACTCCAGCTGGGCCCAGGTCTTGCCAATGTGCTTCAGATGCAGCTCCGGGGTGTAGGAGGGGGCTGCCGGAAGAGAGAGGTGCAGGTTGACAGGGGCAGGGTGGAGAGCCCGGCTGGACTTCTCGTGGCTCCTCAGACCCAAGAACTGGGACACACTGAGAGGTGGGTGACATCAGAGTCCGAGGGGATGCCCATCCCAGCTTCACTGTCTCAGGAGCTTGGACCGAATCCCATCTACTTCTAATAAGTGGCCCAGTCAGGATCTGCACCTGGTTCTCTCTGACTCCAAAGCCTCACTCCCCGATTCCTCCCAGGCCTGAATTTGGCCTACTCACTATTCCATTTCTGCCCCTCACTCTCTGAATCTATGCCAGGCCCTCTCTCTAGTTCTATCACACGTGACACCTTATTTCTGTCAGGACAATGGACTGAGTTTTGCCAGACTTGCTCCCTGCATTCCGCCAAACCCACTGCCTAATTTCTATCACCCCACCACCTGACTTCTTTGTAGCCACAGGGGACCAGTGTAAGCCAGGGGTGATCTTAGGACTGGGGGGGACCCCTCCTTGGGCCAGAGGTTGGGGAAGAAGGAAATGCTTCCTCCTAGTGCTGGTGGGTGGGGCCTAGGCAGGCCTTGAGATCGAGGAGATTCTGAGGAGGGGCCTGGTGGCTGACGAACCCGTCTCTTGGGAGTAGGCATAGATGCGCTGGGAGGGTCCCACGGTGTCTTGGTACAGGGTGGTCACAGTGATCTCGTAGAGCTGGAAGGGCCTGATGTTCTCTGTGGAGAGAAAATGGGGAGGCACCCTGGTTAGGGACAACCTCTGCCGATGATCAGGAGCTCACCTCAGACCTCTAGTCGGGGCTAACCTGGGCCTAGCCTCTTCTTCAGATCATTCGGTCGGGGTAAGGGGAAACAAGTGGAAGAGAGAGAGCTGGAAAGGTGGCAGAGTCAGAGCTGTAGCAAGAGAGGATCCAGTTAGACTGTAAGAGGAACTTCCTGATTCTGCGGATATGAGGTGAGACCAGTGAAGGATCAAGAAAGACTTGGGAATCTCTTTGTCCAGGGTGGTTCAGGTTGCCCCTGGCCCACTGCCTCCCCGTCTCCCATGCCCACTTGCCAGCCTCCCAGGCCTGCCTCACCTTGTAGCAGGGTCCCTGCAATGCTTCCATTATGCTCCATTTTCCAAGTCATATGGCTGCCACTGGGGCTGGGGGGCCCCGGGCCCCATTCAATCACATAGCCCCGAGGCCGAGGGCTGGGGGGTTCCCAGCCCACCCAGAGGCTGTGAGGGTCTCGGGCCATGGTATGGAGTCTGCCCAGCGGTGGGCCTGGAGACAGAGTAGGAGAAGATGGGATGAAGGTGAAAAGAATGCAGGCAGTGATGGCGAACCTATGACACGCGAACTCATTTTTTTGGTTGATTTTTCTTTGTTAAATGGCATTTAAATATATAAAATAAATATAAAAAATATAAGTCTTTGTTTTACTATGGTTGCAAATATCAAACAATTTCTATATGTGACACGGCACCAGAGTTAAGTTAGGGTTTTTCAAAATGCTGACACGCTGAGCTCAAAAGGTTCGCCATCACTGCCTTAGAGCCAGAAGCCTGGGTCCACATCCTGGCTTTGCTCCTTACAAGTCAATATCTGAGCCTCAGTTTCCTCATCTGTGAGATGGAAATGATGATAAAAGTTCTTCCCTTATAGAGTCTACAAAAGCTAACACTGTGGAGTTCTTGGTATGTGCCAGGTGGAGTCCTTGGTGTCTGCTAACAGTCCCATGACAGGGGCACTCCTACTGCCCCCATTTTATCAATGAGAAAACAGACACAGAGAGGTTGAGTAACACCTGAGGTATGTAGCCAGACAGTGGGAATATTAGCTATTGTTATTGTTAGTCACACCTTGTGAGGACCCATGTTCAGAGGAACCTGGGGGTGGTGGTGGCTGGTCCCTGGAGAATGACCAATCAATTCAGGGACCGGGTTCCAGTTGGAAAAATATAGAGCTTTCTCTACCATCTTCCTTGGCAGAATGGACTGTGTGTATGTGTGTGTGTGTGTGTGTGTGTGTGTGTGTGTGTGTAGGCACCACCATAGCTTAACCTGGTTCTGGCTCATGATAATAATAGCTAACACATACTGAACAGTTACTATGTGCCAGGCACATGTCTTAACTCGTAATCTCCACAACAACCCTTTGAGGTAGATGCTGTATCACCCCCAGTTGCTAGATGAGTAAACAGAGGCCAGGGAGGTTAAGTAACTTGCCCAGGCCACACTGTTAGCAAGTGACAGGACTAGGTTTGAACCCAGGCAGTCGAGCCTTCAAATGTACATGCTTACCCACCATGCTCTACTAGCTGCCAGCCCTTTACCTGTGCTCTCCAAGAAGACCACGGGGGTGGGGCGGGAGGTCCCGGCGGTGTTGTAGGCCACAAGGACCACCTCCCGGACTTCCGAAGGCAAGTGGAAGGTGCAGTTTAGCTCGGTGGTGTTGCAGAGGGGTGGGACTGCTCCAGCCTGGCCCGAGGGTCTCCAGGAGACCAGGTACCCTTGGATCTGCCCGCTGTCTTCCTCCACGGGCATTGGCTGTGGTGGGCAGAGGAGGAAAAAGATAGGGGGATGAACATCTCATCTTGAGTGGGGGAGAGCTTCTTGATGGGGTGGATGGACCGCAGGAGCGGAGCCCCCCCAGGAAGGCCAGCCTTCCTCCCTTCCTCCCTGCTTCCCTCTGTTGCCCTGTGCCAGGTCCTAGGAAGGAGAGAAGGAAGGAGCAAGTTGGTGTGTGCGGCAGGCACTTAACTATCCCCTGAGCCAACCCTTTGCTGTCCGTGAGTCCTGCCTTATAATGTGCCAGGTAGACCCTTCGGTGTCTGCTAACAGAGACTTCTTCAGAAGTCTCCAAGGCACATGCAAAGTGTATGCAAATCACACACAAATGCATCCAAGCCACCCAGAGCTGGTGGAGTCCTAAGCCCCAGCTCACAGGGGTCTGTGTGGGTTGAAGGTGGCTTCAGAGGTGGTCACCTTCCAGAATAGCTGCATGTCCACTGTCCTGCGGTCCAGCTGCCTCTGCCGCCACCACGTGTCCAGTCTGACATTGGGGGCTGTGGATGGAGTGAGAGGAGGGGGTGCTGGTCAGGGAGGGCTTTCGAGGTGGGACTGGGTCCTGACGGCCGATCCCAGCTCCTCACCACCCGCTTACCCTGTTGCGCGCTGGTCAGCTCCAGGCTGGGGCTCCAGTCACTCCAGTGGCCAGGCAGGGGCCAGCGGGTGCAGCGCATCTGCAGGGAGTAGGCTGTGGATGGGAGGAGCCCGCAGAGCTCATGCTGAAGGGTCTTGGAGGGCAGGGGGCCCACCTGGGGGAGGAAGGCGTGGCTCTAAGCCTGGATTCCTGTGCCCTTCAGGGCCAGCTCAACGTACCCTCCCCTCAGCCACCCCCACCCCAGGCTCTTGAGGTTGCCCTCCACCTCACCAGGGTCCAGTTGGCTCCTCCAGGCTGTGGCTGGTGGCGCAGCTCACACTTCTGGTCTATGTACTGGGTTGACTTCCATGACTCCCAATGCAACTGTAGGCAGCCTGGCTGGGGTGGGGCCACCTCAGGGCTGGGGTCCAGGGCCCACAGGGTGGGGGGCTCCAGTTTTACTGCAGGGAGAGGGGTTGTCAGATCCTTTCCCTCCCCCATCTGTTAGGCCCTGCCTTAGCTCCCTCTTCTCCCTGTGGTTCCATTTTTCTCCCTGGGTCTCCATCCGTGGGGTCTTGTGTCTTTCTTTCTTGCTCTTTCTCTTCATCTCTGTGTTATCACGTTTCTGCGGGTCTGTCTCTGTGTATGTGTCTGTTTCTCTCTGGGTCTGTTTCATACTCTCACCCCAGGGTGCACTGGTTGTTCCCTGGAACCCTGTCCCTCCACAGACCCAGTGTCTTGCTCCTTCATTTCCTTCAAGGACCGTTTCAAATGTCTCCTTCTCTGTGAGGCCTCCCTGACCACCTTACTGAAATAGCAGCTGCTCCCCACCCCCAGCCCTCACACCCTTCCCCGCTTCAACGTCCCCATCGCACTGATCACCAGCTGACAGCCTATTTTATTTATTTTGCCCACTAGAAGGTAATGTTCCAGGGCAGGGTTTTTGCTCTTTTGTTCACTGCTGCATCCCTAGCACCTAGAACGGTGCCTAGCACCCAGTGGGCATATCAAGAAACCTGCCCAAGGAATGAATGTGTCTCCTTGTGTCTGTGTTTCTTCCACGTCCCTGTGTCTCCATAGCTCTGTCTCCAACTGCATCCCCCTTGGCCTCCGTCTCTCTTCTCTTCCTCCATCCCTAGGTCTTCCAGTGTCTGTCTGTCTGTCTCTGGGTCTGTGTTTCCCTCTCTGTGTCTCTCTGGGTCTACCCTTTGTGGGAGCCTCTTCCCTCCCCCGTACCCAGGGCATCACCCACCAACGTCCATGGGATCCAGGCACAGCTGCGGGGACACGCTGGTCCCCAGCACGTTCTCTGCCTGCACCCAGAGGCCCATACTCTGGTAGAGCCGCAGGTGTTTGCGTGGGATGGAGCAGCGGCTCTGCCCGTCCTCAGGCACGCAGTCGGGGATGGCTTCCTCCTGGTCCTGGCAGTTGCCCCGGCTCCTGCCAATAGGCCAGGCTTGGGTGTCAAGCAGAGGAAGAAAGCAAGGCTCCCTTCTCCCTCCCATCTCTGTCTCTGTCTCCCTCATCCCCACAGTCCTACCTATGCCCCACCCCAGGATGGCGCTGGAATAGAGACCCTACTCACTTGAAGCTTTTTAGGGTGAAGTTGGTAGACAGGTGGGTGTCAGGTCCTGGCTCCCACTGGCAGATGAGGCTCTCGATGGTGAGGTTCATGAGGCAGGACAGGTTGTGGGGTGTGGCGGGAGGGTCTGTGCACAGGATGGGGAGAGTGAGGGCTTTGGGTAGGACACTCAGAAAGCTCCCACTGGGACCATCCGGCTTGCTCCCTGCTCTGGGTCATTCCCTCTGGGGCCACTTTGTTTATTCGCCTGTCTCCGTGCAGCCCGGGGGACACCGAGTTGCAGGCACGCACAGGGACAGGCTTCACAGAGCCTCAAACCCCCTCAACTCCACCCCCTTTAACAGTGACAGGTAGTGTCTGGGTTTCACTCTGGTTCTGCCACTCATTAGCTGTGTGATTTTGAAGTCACGTAAGGGCTCTGTTTCCTCATCTGTAAAATGGGGGTAATGGTAATGTAGCTGTCCCCTAGGTCCGTGGTCAGCAAACCATGGCTCGCAAGCCACATGCGGCTCTTTGGCCCCTTGAGTGGCTCTTCCACAGAATACTACATGCAGGCGCGCACGTACAGTGCGATTGAAACTTCGTGGCCTATGTGCAGAAGTCGGTATTTTGTGGAAGAGCCGGTATTTTGTGGAAGAGCCACACTCAAGGGGCCAAAGAGCCGCATGTGGCTCGCTAGCTGCGGTTTGCCGAGCCACAGTTTGCCGACCACTGCTATTGTGAAGGCGGAACGACTTTCTATGTAAAGTGCTCAGAGCACTATTGTTGATTCTTACACAAGAACCTTGGTCTGGCCGAAACGCGGTTTGGCTCAGTGGATAGAGCGTCGGCCTGCGG